TATATAGACTAAGAAATAGATTATTATAAAAGTATTTCAGATGGAAAAGAATAAAATATGTATAAAATAAGTTAATATGGATATTATGTAAAAAAGTTACAAATAATATAAAAATAATAATATGTAAATCATAATATAGATTAATTAAAATACATAAAGGTATATGCATAAAAATTACAAAAAAGGATACATAAAAAATACATTAAAGAATGTATAAAAATGGCTGTGGTTTCCCACTCTGCCATAAAGAGATTGGCATAGCTGGGCGCAAACCTGGTCCCCATAGCTGTTCCTTGTTTCTGTACATAAAAAGAATCTAAAAACCAGAAGTAGTTGTTTTTTAAAATAATGTTAATACCTTCTATTATAAAACTAATCTGTTGGTTTGGGATTCTTTTTTCTGCCCTTAGAATTTTTTCTACGGCAGAGCAGCCTTTGTCATGAGGGATAATTGTATACAGTGATTGGACATCACAGGTGACTAAAAAATAAGTATCTTTCCAAATAAAATGGTTTTAAAAAAATGGAGTAAGGTCATGGAATCTTTTAAGTACGATTTAATACATTTAACAGAAGGTTGTAAGAGGATATCTAAGTATTCGGATAAATTTGATAAGATGGAATTTATCCCTGATACGATAGGCCTACCAGGAGGATTTTTATCATCTTTATGGATTTTTGGTAAAAAGTAAATGACCGGAATTTTGGGATGGGAAACATTTAACCCCTTAAGACCGGAGGGCGTACTATTACGTCCTCTAATAGGCGGCTCTAAACGCCGCCGGGCGTAATAGTACGCCCTCCGGTCTTTCTGTACTTACCCGGTCGCCGGCGGTCCCACGCCGGCGATCGCGGTGGGGGGGACTCCCAGGGAGCCCCCCGCGGCACGACCGTCCTCCAGGAAGCCCCCCGGCCGTGTGAGAGTGGGGTCCTAGCGAGGACCCCACAATCACATGGCCGGGTATAGCTGGCTTCTGTATTGCCAGCAGGGGGGCTGCCTGTAATTACAGGGGGTCCCCCTGCTGGCTGAAAATAAAAGTAAAATAAGTTAAAAGTGTAAAAAAATAAAATTATATATACTTAGATCATATATATATATTATATATATATGATCAAAGTATATATATACACATATACATACACACATGTACAGCGTCTAGGTGTATTTTACTATTAATATATATATAATTATATATATATATTAATATCAAATTACACGTAGACTGATACTGATTAAATATATATATAATTATTGTTATATATATATTTATATATATTATAAAAAAAATTAAAATGTAAATACGTTAAAAAATAAAATTACAAAAATAATTAAAAATAAATAATTAAAAAATATATCGATGTGTGTTATTTCGTTCTAACTGTATTGTGAAATTAATATATATATATATATATCAAAATACACATAGAACGAAATAATATATATATTTATACACATAAATATATACGTATATATCTCTATATATATACCTATATATAAATAAAAATATTTTAAAAAAATTATATAGATATATACATATATATACACATACGTATATATATACATATATTGATTCTACATATATATTTATGTAATATTTTTACATAATTAGGTATCTTAATTAATTACAATTATCAGGACCTGCATGACAACCCATGCCGAAAGTAAAGGGAATTTAATTTGCTAGCACTATATTTAACCCTATAACTTTCCGAGACACCATAAAACCTGTATATGGGGGGTACTGTTCTACTCAGGAGACTTCGCTGAACACAAATATTAGTGTTTCAAAACATTAAAATGTATTACAACGATGATATCGCCAGTAAAAGTGACGTTTTTTGCATTTTTCACGCACAAACAGCATTAAACGGACAATATTATTGCTATGATACTTTTTACTGTTTTGAAACACAAATATTTGTGTTCAGCGAAGTCTCCCGAATACAACCCCTCATGTACAGGTTTTATAGTGTTTTCAAAAGTTACAGCGTCAAATATAAGGCTTGCGTTTCATTTTTTTCACATTAAAATTCGCCAGATTGGTTACGGTGCCTTTGAGACCCTATGGTAGCCCAAGAATGAAAATTACCCCTATGATGGCATACCATTTGCAATGGTAGACAACCCAAGGTATTGCAAACAGGGTATGTCCAGTCTTTTTTAGTAGCCACTTAGTCACAAACACTGGCCAAAATTGGCGTTTTTTGCATTTTTCACACACAAACAAATACTAGCGCTAACTTTGGCCAGTGTTTGTGACCAAATGGCTACTAAAAAAGACTGGACATACCCCATTTGCAATACCTTGGGTTGTCTACTATTGCAAATGGTATGCCATTATGGGTGTAAATTTCATTCCCGGGCTACTATACAGTCTCAAAGGCAACTTAACCAATCTGGCGAATTTCAATTTCAAATGTAATGTGCTATATTTGACCCTGTAACTTCCCAAAACGCCATAAAACCTGTACATAGGGGTACTGTCTTACACGTGAGACTTTACTGAATACAAATATGTGTATTTTATTGCAGTAAAAGCAAACAGTATTATGACACTGACCGTTAAAATGTCATGTAGAACTAAAAAAATCAAAAAAAATCGTATTTTCTCCCATTTTTTCATATTAAATTATGTTTCATAGCTAAATATTTGATATTAAATGAAAGCCCTGTTTCCCCTGAATAAAATGATATATAATAAGGGTGGGTGCATTTACTATGAAAGAGGTGTATTACGGTTGGACAGACATGTAGCGGAAATGCCAGGTTTTGTTTACATTTTGTTTTGTTCACAACGTGTACATTTGGCTCCGTCCTTAAGGGGTTAAAAATTCATATTCTTGTTTGTTTAGAAATATGTACATTTGGCCTCATGGAGACACTCATCATCAAAAAAACAAATAAATTGTCCATCCTTGATGTAGAAATTAACAATTTGAAAGAAAAAATTTCATCATTTACAGAAACTCAAACTTTCAAACAAAATTCTATTCTTATCCAAAACAAAATAGAAAAAGTGGAGAAGGATACAAAACACATTAAAGTAAAAAAATATATTAGAGACAAACACGATTACTTATGGAGGTTTCCCATGCCTGACTATCTCTGACCAGCAGAGGAGCAAAGTGTGCTCCATTTCCTGTGGTCAGAGAATTTTCTGCGATGCTTCCTGTCAGTATTCCCGAACGTCCTGTCACTTAGACAGAATGCAGGCGAAACTACTGAATTGCGTCCTAACAGAATGAGAACAGTTTCTCCATTCATGTTAGGACGCAATTCGGGACTTTGTTCTGATCAGAATTTATTTGAATGAATGAAATTCCATTCCGATTCTTGCTGCTAACTCCCTAATTCCCACGGTATTAAGGAGCTATCTACCAAAAGGCTGAAAGACCTAAATTGGTCTTTCAGCCAAATTTACTAATACCAAGGGGTTACATCTAGCCCCCACCTGCCGCCCATGGATGGGGGCCAGGAGGGGAGGACAATACTGTAATTTAAACCCCCTACCCATCACCTATTTTAATTTAGTGCCCCCACCCTGCCCGCTCAAGAGTGGGAGGCGGGGGGTGAGGACAATAGGCCCCCCATTTTCATTTAGGGCTGCTCATGGGTGGGGGCCAGGGGGACGACGAAAGGGCCCCCCTTCAGTTTAATTGCCCTCCCTTGCGCTGTACAGGTGGGGGCTCAGGAGGGGAACACTAGGGCCTTTTTTTTAACAGTAAGCAGCCACTTGCTGCTCACTGTTTAGTAGACATGCCCCTACTTGCGGCATAGCAAATAGGGGCATTCAGGAGATGTTATTCTTCCTTATGCTATTATGGGGGTCATGTTAACCCCCATAGAGTGAGGGAGGACATGGGGAGCTTAGGAAAGGGCAGGGAGCACAGCTCCCTGCCGCTTCTATTTTTACATATTACAAGGAGGGAGCTGCAAGCTGGTAGTTCCCTCCTTGTAATAAACCAAACGAACGAAGAGATCTTTGTTCATTCATTTTACATTTCTATTCATTTATTCGTCTTTATGACGAATGAATGAATAGATAAAATTCCTGTTCGCATGCCCAAGTGTTTAGATGGGCATGCGCAAGAATTTCACAGACTACGTGTCCCACAGGGACTTCAGACTACCCGCACAAAGATGGCGGTGCCCAGGACCTAGGTCTGGGCAGAAAATAAAGATTAAAAAAATAGGTAATATGGGGGCTTAGGGGCATTTGGGGGGGTTCACTAGGGGGACAATTAGATGAAGTGGAGTCGGTGGGGGGTTAAAAAAAACAAAACAGGATTCGGCCATGACAATGTCGCTTTAAAATACTGATACACCTGCATCTTGTAAATTTCCATATGTCAATGTGATAATACACAAGTGCATATGAATTTCTTAGAGTGACACTATAGGCACCCAGACCACTTTAGCTCATTGAAGTGGTCTGGGTGCACTGTTACAATCCCCTTAGCTGTGCAATTGTAATTATTGTAGTTATTGATAACATGCAATAATTACCTGGCAGTGTTAACACCAAACAGCCACTAGAGGCACTTCCAGGTAGTTAGGCGACTTTTGAATACATCCAATATCATCTAAAACCCCATAGGAAATCATCGAGCAATACTTTCTAATGGGGTACTCCTAATGTGAGTGCTGCACCCGCCGTGCATAAGCATTAGGTTCCCCCGACAAGTGACATCGACGGAGGAGGAGCGGATGCTTAGTTTCTCTTTAAACATTTTAGTCAACTTTTGCACTTGTTTTGCAACAAAATAATCCATGCATAGCAGATAGAATTACCTAGTGTCTATAGTCTCCCATTTGAAGATCTGAACACCTAAAAAGAAGTACAACTCTGGTTCTATGCCAGGCACCCTGTACCAACCATCAAATCTATAAATATTTTCTCTTCCTAGCCATATAAACGATGCTCATTGCATGGTTTCCTGAGCTTTTCTTGGATGCCCTTTACCTCATTTAATTAATATTACAGTTTAACATGTGTAAACAACATTATGTCCTTGCAAGTAAAATTACTCTTACTGGAAATCCAGCAAAAGTGATCTAAGCTGTCTATATTCTTCAAAGTGACCATATTCTTTTGTGCTCGTATTTGGTCCAGTTTTCTATCCTTTATCAAAATTATCATTGTAGCGACAACCGATCCCTATTGTTCACATTGACCAAGTTCCTTTGCATTAGTTTTTTCTCCATTAGCATATAGTTTAACCATTTATACAAGGGGAACGCCAGGGTACTCCTGGCACCATAACCACTACAACGTTCTGTAAAACGCAAAATGTCAGGGTGACTGTGTGATCCAACTTTTTTCAGAATATTTTACACATTATATAGAAATTTAAATATCCCTCTTTAATTAATTGTTGCAAAATGAATTTCAGTTGATGTTTTGGCTCCATTTAGAATTCTGAAGAAATTCTTCTTACAGTAAGTTTACTAACATATTAAGCAATATTTTCTGGTAATATTTTATCTTGTCTTAACTCTTTGCAGTTTCTTTAAATATGCCCAAAACATGAAAATTGACAAATGACATATACTGAGGTAAATGGATCAGGTTTTCCTAATTGTTTAGGAAAAATATGATTTAATTCTTTACGTTTAATGATGAAGGTTTTCGTTCTAGTTTTGATAAATTGGTCCTCTCTGGACTGCACCTTCAAAAGCTGCAAAGCATTTTCAGTTTAGTACAGGTCAAGACCTTGACTGGAACAGTTGAAGATTAATTGACTCTCACTTAACCCCTTTTATGCAGTTTTCACCAAGGTCCTGTTGATATCTTGACTCATATTGGTGTAACGGAAGACCTTTCAGCAAGCTACACTATCCATTATCCTGAGTTTCTTCCAAGTACCTGTTATGGTAATTTATCCATACAACAAACAACAGTCAGTATTGCAGCAGTACACAGTGCATGTTCAATGTGTTATAGACAGCTAAAGCCTATTTTCATGGTTAATGTCTTCAGTTATTGCACAAATAAAGTAATTGGCCTTAACTACTACACTATGTTGTCTTGTGTTTTGTTTTTTTATGCACAATTCATTTTTTTTGTGTGCTTATTAATAAAAAATTAAGCAAATATTGGTCACATCTTTATTTCAATTACATGTAATGACTAATTTAGCTTAATATTCTACAGGTGTAATAAATATTTATTTATCTGGCTTTCAAGAAATGAATCGTCACTTACTTATTTCTTGAGTGTCAATCACCGGAACATTAATTTGGCAATGACATTTCTTTCCCCTTTTTCCAGGCATTGGCAAAGACGACACACTGAAAATGATATATTTCAATCCAAAAATAAAAATAATATTGATAAAAACTCTCTCAATATATCATTAATAAACCTGTGAATAAATGTATGTAGGTGCTATGAACTTGCATGGGATGGAAATGTACCTGGCTATTTGCTTGATATTCTCGAGAGGGCATGGGTTTTGCAGCTAATTCCTTGGTCTCATGTGAAATAGGCACTGAATTTATATTCTTTTGGGAGCATCAGTGCGTCTCTCTCTGCCCTAGAATAGTCTTACTTACTGTTAAAGGGAGACTATAGTCACCAGAACAACTACAGCTTATTGAATTTGTTCTGGTGAGTAGAATCATTACCTTCAGGCTTTTTGCTGTAAACATTGTCTTTTCAGAGAAAATGCAGTGTTTAAATTACAGCCTAGTGATAACTTCACTGGCCACTCCTTATGGCTGTTAGAGATCCTTCCTGGGTCATGGCTGCCTAAAATGCATCCAAACATTCAGTATCTCCTCCCTCTGCATGCAGACACTGAACTTTCCTCATAAAGAATCATTGATTCAATTCATCTCTATGAGGAGATGCTGATTGGCCAGGGCTGTGTTTGAATCATGCTGGCTCTGCCCCTGATCTGCCTCCTTATCAGTCTCAGCCAATCACTTCTGATGATGTCAGCAGACTGCTTGTTTTTCTGAGTCTAACAGCATGCAGAGTTACAGCTTCAGGCTTGAATACAGTAATATGTTTACTATATTTATAGAGGCATGAGGGGCCCAGGGGGGCTAGATGGTGGTTTTAACACTATAGGGTCAGGAATACATGTTTGCGTTCCTGACCCTTTACTGATCCTTTAAAGTTGTTTCTATTACTGTGTAACTCTTTTTCTTAAGGTCAGGACTGATCTATCATGCCCAGAAATGATCTTCAGCACAGAAGGCAATATCATAGGCAGGTGTTTGTGGAAATACAAATAAAACATTCCCAAATACTAACAAAAGAAACAAAGTAACAAAAAAAATTAATAAAAATATTTATAACCATAACCTTTGCTAGATCTTAAAGGGACACTCCACTGCCCAAATACAAAATAGATTAAAAAAAAAAAATCACTGTTTACTAGATACCCTAAATGAAAACTTCATGCATCTACTTATGTTATTGGGGATATAAATCATATATCAGCTTGCAAAGTCTGCAGTTCCTTTGTCTGCAGCTTTTGCAAGCTCTCCTTTTAGCACTGCCCAGACTTTCTGTGGATGTCCAATCACAGACTTCACAATGCAGCTCAATAAGAAGTATTTGTAAGTCAGGTTCCCTGGGCAGTTGTTGCCTTTTGAGGTCAGCTGCATTGAGCTAATGAAACCAGGAAGTAACATCACCTGCTGTCTGCTTGAAAGTCGAGGTGGTGTAACCAGGTTAATTTATAAAAGTGTCAGTTTCTGTTGAGATCTGCACTTTTTGCAAAATGAAAAAAAAGAGGACACACTCTTCACACATAAAGCTTTTCAGCAAGCTAACATTGTTTAGGGGTCCAGAGTGGCTCTTAAAGTAATCATGACACACATTCAGTTTCAGCTCTGAAAATCTGGGGATGCTAACTTTGCATATTTCTCAATGTCAGAATTAACTAAAACAAATAATCCCAGTGCACATGCAGTCTTCCTTTTCTTTTTTTTTTCCCCCAGAAACCTACCATGTTCTCCCTGGCTAAATATGTATTTTTCATGATTTCTAAGGTAATCACAGCTGGATATCAAATGGAAATTAAAACAATTAACACTTTGGATGTAGAAAACACTGTTTCACTAACTGTGGGGACTCCCGAATTAGCAATTTGTATTTGAACTGATTTAGTCTTAAGGTATCAAATAGGCTGAATATCTATGCAGTAACAATCAATTTTATATTAAAAAAATATAACTCTATATTGACATATTAAAATTGTATCTCAAAGGCCAACATTTATGTAGGATTTCAGAATTCCTCAAAACTGCAGTAAAACTATTAGTCCATTTGCAGCAATTGCTGAATTTTCATTTAACCTAACATTGGGATAATTTTGAGGTAAATACATGCTTTATTTATTCATTGGTTTGCTAATGTAATAAACACTTAATATACATTTACAAGTGATTGCATGGTTTTCATACTTCTCCCGATCATAACTTTAAAGAATGTCTAGGGTCAGTCATGTGACTCATTCTATTAGCTTTGGGGAAAAAAGAAGAACATGTTTTATTACTCTTTTTGTTGTTCCGTGATTGGATTATGATGACTAGCCTATTTACAGTGCTAGTTGAACTGAGCAGTAAAAATCTGAAACTGCAAATAAATTTTCAGCCAATAACAGCCTACATTTGAAATATGAGGCGAAAACATGTAGTGTTTGTAGGGGAGAATGCTGCCTTCTATCTACTTCCTGTGGACACCTAAAAAACCCAAAAAAGGCCTCTAGAACTATTTTATGTCTTTTATATAAGTCAGGAACCTTTTATAAATGATCTTGAAGTGAACATTGAAAGTAATTTGTCCGTGTTTGCAGATGACACAAAACTAGGTAAGATAATAGTCTGGACCTGATATAACATCTCTACAGAGGGATTTGGATACATTTGTGGATGGGGCAGGCAAGTGACAGATGAGATTCTATACAGATAAGTGCAAAGTCATGCATTTTAGAATAAGGAACCCACAAGCCACTTATATTTTAGATAGGGTTGAGTTAGGGATAACATTAAATAAAAAGGACTTGGGAACAATTATAGATAACAAACTAGACAACAGTTTCACAATGCTAGTCTGACATTGCAAAAGTTAGTAACGTGCTTCAATGTATAACGGGTATTGATTCATGTGATCAAAATATAATTTTGCCTATTTGTAAATCAATGGTAAATCCATGGTAAGTCCCCACCTTGAATATGCGGTGCAATTTTGGGCAACAGCGTTAATGAAGGATATTGCAGAACTAGAAAATGTGCAGAGGCGAGCTAGAAAAATAATAAGGGGGATGGAAAACAATAGTAATGAAGGAAGGCTTAAAATATATATACAAATATATATAGGGTCAGTACAAAGCGCTATGTGCTAACTTGTTCATTAGTTGGAATATACAACAGACAAGAAGTCACCCATTGAAACTAGAAGAAAGGCGTTTTCGATTACAGCAGAGGAAACGGTTCTTTACAGTAAGAACAAAGATATGGAATACTCTAACTAACGTGGTTGTCTTATCAGAATCTATAGATAGTTTTATAGATAAATAATGTTAAAAAAAGGGTTTGATACTTTATTCAAAAACAGAATATTCAAGGATATAAATGATATGCATATGAACAGGTAAAGGAGAAATCTGATTGCCATTTTGGAATAATTTTTTCTCTTTTTGTGGCATAATTTGTAATGGTTGTGGTTGGGGTTTATTTGCCTTCTATTGGATCAACAGTATAAAAAATAGGATTCTAAGTTGAGTCATGTAGTCTTTTTTCAACCTACACTACAATGTAAGTATGCAACTAAGATAAACAGGCAAGAAAAAAGAATCAATTTTACTTGATATATAACAAGGTCCAACAACTGTTTAATTGCTTGGCTTCTAACTGCAAATGGCACCCTGGAATATTACATTTATATCTTTCTATAGTGCCCTCCAGAAATAGTGGCACCTTTTGGAAATATGATGAAAGAAGGCTGTAAAAATTGTCTATATTGTTTAAACGTTTGACCTTTTGTTTAAACAATACAAAAAACTACTGATCTCATGGATATCAAACAGTTGCAAACACAACACAGGTTTATCCAAAAAAAATAAATATAAAAATCCTTGTTAAATATATGTTTGGCACAATTATTGGCACACTTAATACTTCAATACTTTGTGCTATATCCCTTTGCCAAGATAACAGCTGTGAGTATTCTCATATAATGCCTGATGAGATTGGGGAATACATGGCAAGGGATCTGAGACCATTACTTCATACAGAATCTCTCCAGATCTTTCAAATTTCAAGGTTGACGCTGCTGGACGCTTCACTTCAGTTCACCCCACATGTTTTCAATGGGGTTCAAGCTAGGGCACTGGGATTGCAATAGCAAGACCTTGATTTTATG